TACTGAACTTGTTTGTGGAGAAGCGTGGCACTGATGAGAAGTGATTTAGCAAGTCCTCAGAGCAAGGAGTTGCGACCTCATCTGCTTGGAGTATACAACATAACATTAATTGCTGAAGAGCTAGACTTTCAGCTGGCAGCTCTGGAGGCATTAGCTGTGTTGGGGTCTGTTGCTTCCTCCCATCAACCTGTTTGCATCTCTGTGGTAACAGGACAGTAAGTAGTAAAAGCTGCCAGGAATCTGACCCATAGTGTAATCTTTTTACCACTCGTTACTATGTTTGCTTTGATTATGACTTGGAACACTCCCAGGACTCCTCAGGCAGGAGAGGCTGCATTTCTCATTTCTGTGGCAAGATCTTAAATACCTCTTAAATCTGACCTTAGTTTTTCCTCAGTCTTTTTTATTTTTTCCTTTATTAGATACTGTTTGAAATTGTGTTGATTTTCAGTCTCAACAGAGAAGTTAACCTGTTCTTGACTTTCTCATACTTTATTTCTGTTCTTTTAAATTGTTCTGATAAATGCTTCTGGGAGGTTTTCATAAAGGCTGCAGGAAATCTTCGCTTAGGAAATGGTTAGGAACAGAGATTTTTTGTTTTCGTCTTTGTGTGTTTGGGTTTTTTTTGGTGTGTGGTTTTTTTTGGTTTGGTTTGGCGTTTTTTTCCAACGGAAGGATCACAGGAAGATTAGCTTCCCAAGCCTAATGCTAGCCTTTGGGACTTGCACCCACCCCCTACTTTTTCTCATCCTCTGATTATCATTATTACTTTTTCCTCCATTTTGCTTTGTCACTCTTTAGTACAAACCTTCTACTACTTCCTGAAAACTGATAATGCAAGTGCTGAAATAGATAGATCTTTTCTTTCTAGATATTATCACTGTTCTTGCTCTTGGAAGGCCTTGTTGCTGACCTCTTGGCTAGTTATCTGGTTGTGAGATAGTGCCGCTTAATTGTACTAGAGGTTGTTTGAAAACCATGCAATTCAGTAGGCAATAGGTGAACTCTTTTCTGTTTTTAAATAAATGGACCAAGTCAAGACATAAATGCCCAGACTTAGTGATGAGCTGGTGAGAAATAGAAAATTTATGCAGTTCATAAAACCTAAGAGCATGGTATTATTGAAACATACCTGATTTAAGTCTGTCCTTACACCTGTAAATTATTTTAAATCGCTATCATACTTTTGTGACAAAAATCCCAACCTAGCAGAGTGTTAAGTCACGTTCGTAGCAGATCAGCCTGATGTCTCTCTGTAGGTGCATCTTCAGTGTATTGCAGATGATCCTATAATGCGTTTTATACGCATTATATATACACACCATATCCTTTACAAAATATGCTTAATGCTCTAAATAGGTTTTTCTTCCAGGTGTTCAAGCAATTAGATAAGTCTTCAAGGGAAAAAAACCCAAAAACTAATAAAACTGAGAAATATGAAAGACTGAGCAAAAAGAAATATATTAAATGTGGTACTTGGTTTTTCAGAAGTTTTTTGGAGGTGGGAGGCAAGTCAAGGCTTTTCTCAGAGCATGTGTTCTTTCTGTTGATTTTTCTCTTTTTTCCCTCCTGTGGTATACTACCAAGTAGTATCCTTTAGGTTTAAGCTTCTTTATCATTGTTTTAGCTTTCAAAGACTGAAGATTTCCAAAGCACAGAACAGTTGCATGGAATCATTATATGAAATTGTTTTGAAGCACTTTTAGTGCAAAATTACTTGATTTCAGTCTTACAAAGATAATGGCCAAAAATAAATTTAATTAGCCTGCAAAAGAGCCTTCTCCTGGTAAAGATCTAGTGTTTGTCACTGCTGATTTTAATGAGACATCTGGCTAATATCAGTTAGTAGATGCTGCTTGGAAAATATTCCATTAATTGTATTCTGAGTTGATCACTGTGTGAGCTTCTGAGATAAAATGTAATGGTGATTACCCTCAGTGTAGAAATCAATTGACAAACTTTCTCTTTTGTTTGCAAGCGTTTCCCCTGTGAGTCCATCAAGGTTAATCTTTCCTGGCTGAATAACAATATCCCCTGGGAGAAAAATGGCAGTATCTCTTCATTGCTCCCAGGAGATCTTGTCAAAGAGCAGGGGATGTGTATAAAAAGTGGGAGGGAGGAAGGGGGTGAAAGAAGGATAGTGAAGCAGGGGACGTGACTGACGTGTTAAAACCTTGAAGAGGAAAAAGCAAGTTGATTGACTGGAGAAAATTATTTTCACTAAGGAAAAAAATCTTTGCTTGTTAAAGTCTTCTTAAATGTTCAACAGTTTAATTTCTTAATGTCCAATCTTCCACGTGAGAGCCAACTATAAGTGTTAGCATAAAAGTCTAATTCCAACCTTAGGTGAGAAGTTAAAAGTTGGAAATCTGGGTTTGGGTACCACGGTTAAACACACCTTGAATGCCTGATTTCTGTTTAAAGAAAAGGCTACTCTGTTACGT